CGTTGTCGGTCTGAATTTTAATGATGGCTTCATTCCTTGCACCAGCCATATCAGCAAGTTGTCATCTCAAGCATGATTTGCCTATGTACAAATGATACAATTAGAGTATGAAAATGAATTCAAAGAAAAGGAAAAGAGAATTCTATCACATGCCAATAAATACACACATAATAGTTGAAGCTAAGTGAAAGTCATTACTCGCACATCAATTCTCAAAAATTACAGACTAAACAATGGCTAGAATGGCACTGAAACTACCAAGAATCATGGACGAAACAACTTGTCAAATTAAATAATCCTTATACTGAAACTACCTTCTAACTTGAAATAAGACATGATCACAGTTCATAGCACTCTTATCACTATGAATTGGTTGCAGCTCGTCCTTATCACTACCTCCCAAGCTCAATTCAAACAGAATAGACACAGTTATGTAAGATAACCATATTCTTACTGATCATAATTCCTTTCTTCACTCCATTTTTGTCGGAGAAAAGAGTTATCCCCCTCTCATGCATTTCCCTTTCCCCCTCTCTTCTCCCTCTTCTTCACAAACCGATCCCTAAACCAGCAACAACAACACAAAATAGCCTTCGCCTCTGCCATCTCCATCTACTGAACGCGTTGGTGGCAGGACAGGACTGCAGAAGCAAAATTTTCTAAAATCAAACTAAATTTTTTGAAGGAGACTCAACCACGAAAAAAGAGTAAAGCAACAATGCTAATAGTTCAGATGGTTGGTTTTGATGTTATACGTTGCTTTTGTTATGGTCTCCAGTGTATCAACTGCAACAGAGATGTTTCCTCCAATCATCTTTAGTGCACGATTTAGAAGTAAGTCCTCTTGTTTGTGTCAAACGGAAACATTCATGGGTTCTTAACTACCCTGTTAGTGTAAATGCATCAGCAGCAAAGAAGTTTGACAACACAGCAAGCACCCAGGCAAAATGATACAATGCAGTAGGTGATATGTGTCTCGAAGGTTTTGAGTTACTAAAGTTCATGTTAAAAATAAACATGAATTAAAATGGATTATTCTATTAAGCAAACATCCCCTCTAATCATACAAAGATCAAATATCTAATTCACAAACAATTAAGCCATAAAAAATCATCACACATCCACCACCTTTGATTGCCTATATTTGTTTTTTCGCAAAGTTATGGACTCTTAAGGGTAAAGTTCATGGGTAGTCTGTTTCATAACTCTAGAGAGCACAGTAAGCAGCCACCAACCAGACACAGTGCGGTAGTCGAATATGATTCTCAATTCACAATTTCTCACCACCGGAAGTATGAACAGACCATAATAAGCGTAGCGTTCATGGGTGGTCTGTTTCATAGCACTACTACACAATTTGTTAAAAAAGAAAGAAAGGTATTTAGCATCACGGCGGAACAACTTTTAAAAGCCAACAACGACAACATGCTGCAACCACCAGAACTGGTATCACAACTCATAGGAAAAATCAAAATATTTACTCTTAAATTAAGTAGTTACAACATCGAGCAATCGTCAAGCACATACACCATCACAAAAGTCACAGAACCTGATTCACAAAGCATTCAAACATTTGAGGACATTTCTTCAAAGATACAACTTATATGTCTTTTTTCCAAGCCATTTCCATCAACATGCTAATAAATTTGCAATGCATAAAACAAATGGGCCAAAACTTGAAATTCAACCTGTTTGACCGACCTATGCCAAATTCTAATTATTCTTTACTTTTAAACTTTCTATTTGAAAATAAAAAATAGTGAAAGAAAAAAGACGACTACAATTCGCCATTTGCACATCACTTATTCGGGAATAAAACCATATAAATTCAAAAGGAACTGAAAATGTTGAGGATCGTTTTAATGTTTAAAATTACCAAATAGATTTTTATGTTTAGTTTTTTACTAACAAATACCAAACTATTCCCTATAAAATACACTATAATTTGATCATTATGATGTCAAATAATTATAAAAATATATATTTGAAATGATAAAAATTGGACTAATTGGGTTGGTCGAGGTTGAACCATTGAATAACTTTAAAATACATTATATTTTATCCACTAAGATATAAAATAATAGCATAATATATATTATGCCAGAGAAAATAGCTTGTTTTAGAATGGCAAACCCATGATGTTCATTTGTTTTATTTGATGACCAAATCCCATGTAGGTCAGACCCATTCAGCTCTTTTATTTTATGGTTATCGGTTAGCCCATTAGATACCATGCATTAGTCTATTGTTAAATTTTTTATTTTTAACAATAAAAAGGAGTATTATTTTTTCCTTTTCATATATATTTTATCACCACGGATAAATAAAATGGTATAAAGAAAAAAATTGACACTCCTGGACTCGTTTAAATCCGCATGTGTACGGTAAGTTGGCCCGTTCCACAGAGGAAAGAGAAAAAAATTGACACTCCCTATTCTACCCTTCCTACAAACGCTCATGGAACAGGGAATTTGAAATGGGGGAAGAGTTTTTTCCACCATGCTATTATATGTTTTTAATTTAAAAGTATACAACAAATGTACTTAGTGTGATTGGTTATGATCCTTGCCTTTTTTTAAAATGGTCATGGTTCAAATCCCAATACATATCTTTTTAATGAATAAAAAAAAGTAATTGTGAAGACCAAAATGTCCTTCCTACTTTCACTCTCGTTGCAGGAAATTTGAAATGGGGCTCCCGTTTTTCCCTTCGGTGTATTATATTATGTGTAGATGTATATAAAGGGCATATTTGTATTTTCCACGAATTCCACGCCATAAATTCTCACAAAAATAAACACTATCCAAACGTAAAATTTCGTTCAATATCTGCATATCAATTCATTGATTTTGTAAAATACGAAAGTTCAGACAAATTCCCACATTTTCGAATTTCCACATCGACCCCTACACAACTTCTTACACAAATAATGAATTCCAAATTGTTATTATTGATATGCGATGACTATCCTCCATTAATATATGGTAGAGTTTTGTGTACTTTTCTCCATTTCAAATTTCCTACAACGAGAATGAAAGTAGGAAGGTCATTTTTGTCTTTACACATTTATTATTTATTTCATATAAAAATAGCAATATCAAGATTTGAACCCGGGTCTCTTCAAACAAAGATAACAATCACAACCAGTTACACTAAACAAATTTATTGCATCATTTTTTATACAAAAAATAGACAATGTTAATCTCTAAAAATCAGAGAACTTTTTCATCATAATTAGCAAGCTCTCCTTAATTTTTGCTAAAGGTAAATGGGTAATTGACTAACATGGAAGAAACTAATTATGTAACTACATGTTGTATCCTTGCATTTTTCAATTTAAATTTAAATTTTTTGTTTTTTTTTATCTTTGTTCTTTTCTCTTTCTAACTTCCTCCGAAATTTCATCCATCGTGCAATAGTTTGCGCCTTTCACTTCCCAGTACAAGACTGTCATTGAAAATCAATCTTCAGGTATCTCTTGGCACTACGGTTTTATTGTTGGGGATTTTAAGTTGGGCGAGTAGAAGATTTCACCTCTGATATCAATTCATGGCGAATAGAATGGAGTTCATCAATAACTGAAGTTGTAGAAGGAGGATTAGAAATTGAATTTTTGGTTGAATATATGCCTCTTGAGATAGAAATTTGGTTGTACAACGGAGAGTGGTGTCTATTGGATCTTTAGGTTTATGGTTTTTGCAACTGTCACAACCTATTTCTATCTTAAAACGAGGAATCATTGATTGACTGGAACTAATAGATAAGGAGTGTCTAATTTTGCGCCTTATTACTTTGATCGAGTCTATTCGTATGTTGGAAATAACCATGATTTTTTCGTTTGCTCTCAAGTTGTGATGGTCCCCTCTTAGCTGAGTTTTTAGTATATAGATGACTTGAATCAACAACTCTCCATTTCTTTTTGATTAGTGACATATTGTTTCTAAAAGGAAAGCATTGAACCCTTTATATAGGATTGTGAGGTTTAAGATTTCGTTTCAAACTATCTATGGGTTGTGTGAGAATTTCAGTGAGCTTTTATACTCTATATTTCTTGACTGTAAAAAAAAAACTAACCAATAGCATTTTAACAGGGACTTTATTAGCATTATGAAAATGGGGTCAATGATACATTTTTATATTTTATATTCTTAAATGATTATGATATTTCTCCGAATGTTCGACCTATATATTATTTATTTATGTATCATCTCGATCGAATGATTATCAATAAGATTAAACGGGTTAATAGACTTAAAAGTAACATAAAAATACAAATAATCAAATATGAGCATTCCGACCAAAGGGCCGGGTTATAAGCTAGTTAATTAATATTATCATTCCTCAAGGTCGCAATGCAACAGCGTCCTCTGATCGACGGTGTTTAAAGAAACAAAATTTAACAGGAAAACACTAAAAAACATGGGGAAAATAATCAACGCCAAACCAACAGGGTAGACAACCAACTTAAAAGTGTTAGATTCTGATTTCTGAAATAATTAAAATATCAAAGGATTGCGCATTATGCCATAATACGTGCATTAACCATTCTTAAATTAATCAGCGGAGAATCGTATTATATGACCTCAACGACACCACAATGGGTCATTTTTTTAAATATTGTGTTATTTTGAAATATTTTCTTCTCACTTCCCTGGGCCGGTAGTTTGGGCCTATTCGTGGGCCTTGAAATCAATCTGTTCAAGTGATCGAGAGTAAAATGTGCCTGTAAAACTGTGTTCGGGAAAGGAACGGGATTTGGATCCATTCCCTGCCATAGAAATAGAGCTCATCCTTTCACTTATGGTGAAACGGTAGTAATGGCCGTAGGCAGTGAATGTGCTCGTAAAACACACGTAAATAAACTGCGTCGAAAACATGTTACACTTGGTAGAGCACGCAAGGTGAAGAAAATATGTGCGTCGCGAGTTAAAAATATGCTCGACGAGTGAGAACACGCATATTGCTAGTTGATTATGTCGATCGCTGGACATACGATCCTGGAAATGTTTCAACTTTTATCTCCATGGAGGAACACATCTGGAAATGTCTTTTCACTAGATCAAAGTACAAAAGTACAACTGAGACTTCTTATGTACAACAACATCAACAAACAGCAACAGCAGCAAGGTTGGCATAGTCTTTCTAGCCATAAGCTGGCATTCAAATGCCATACTACAACAATTAATTTACTAGTAGTTCTTCTTCTTTTCTCAGCAGATTATTCAAAGCAAAAGTAGCTATAAGATCGTAAATAGAAACAAGGAACCACTACCTAAGCCAAGGTAGAATGACTCAGAAGCAGAATCCCCCGCTGGCTGCCCCTACGGCGAACTCAGGATGGTAATGCAGCATCTCCTGCAACATCGTCTCACGTATCATCTCCTCCCCCAAATCCTCATCGATGTCAAGATCGATAGGCACCTGGGCCGGAGGGTTATTGTTAGGATCATAGAGGGGGGACAAGTAAGGGTGCTGCAGTGCTTCGGTCACAGTTATCCTCTTCGAAGGGTCGAAGATCAGCATCTTCCTCAGCAGATCAATGGCCAGGGGATGAGCATTGGGGTAGAGGTGGTTGAATGACGTCCCTGGTGAATACGGAATCGACTTGATGAACTTCTTCGCCTTGATGTTGTCGATGAACTCGAGATCTTCTTCCCTCTGGCTACCTAATATGTTGATGATGAGCTTGAGCTGGTTTAGGCATTCTGTCCCCGGGAAGAGAGGCTTACGACCGAGTAGCTCAGCGAATATGCAGCCTACTGACCAGACGTCGATCGAGGTCCCATAGTTGTCGCAGCAGAGGAGGAGTTCGGGTGCTCGGTACCACCGTGTGACCACGTACTCAGTCATGAACTGGCCCTTGCCTGTGCTGGTTCTCGCCAGGCCGAAATCGCAGATTTTGAGGTCGCAGTTTGCGTTGATGAGAAGGTTCCCGGGTTTCAGATCACGGTGGAGGATGTTTGCTGAGTGAAGATACTTCAGGCCTCGTAGCAACTGGGAGCAATGGAGAAAAGATGCTATGAAGTTATGTACAAACAGATGGGCAAAAGTTAAGAAAAGTATGTATTGTAGAACGCATGGATTTTAAGAAATCATGTATCTTGTATATGGAGATTGTAAGAATGTGTGTGCAATGTATAGAATACCATGTATTGGTTTGGTACAAGGGAACAATCCCTGGTAACCAAACGATCCCTAATTCATCTAAACAGAGGTTGAAATTGTTGCACATTAGTAAAGAACAGCAAACAAGGTTATCATCATGTTATCAAGGCATGGCCTTAGATAGTACGAAACGAACTAACAAGCAACGAAGCAGAATATAACAGCATTTCAGCCTTCTTATGGACTTAGATCGTAACACCATCTTCAGGAGCAAGACAAATGAAACTGGAGACTATAGTTGAACTAGAAAGAGAGAGCAACAGTACCGTGCTAGATCTCTAAAGCACAAATGAGCCAAATGATTTCTAAAAATAGAAGCAAATTAAGGATTAACTACTTCAATCACCATTTTAAGACCATCGTATTGTTAAGTCAATTGGTTGGAGGGTGAAACATTTTCTTAATTTCCATGCTAACCTAAGCTTCAGTAATTGTTTCATTAACTTTCTCATCTAATCTAACCCGATTTTTCGACACTGAAACCAGATAGAAACACCGCTGAATGTGTCTGTCAATCAAGGCACATTCCATCAATATTGCAATAGGAAACTTCAAAATCAAATCAACCCGGCAGTTTAATTGTATCTGATCATTAGTAATAGTTACTGCAACTTCCACAAACTACATTATGAACCGAATGAAGAACACTTATTAGTCAGAGAACATCCAATCCAATATGCAACCAAATTGAGAATGATGCTCCTATCTTAACACGCATAACTATTCACAATCTTTCATTCATAGGCAATGATAGTCTTCTGTTGCGATACCTGGAAGAGGAAGTACTGACAGTGATCATTACTAAGCGACTGAGACGACTTGATGATCTGGTGGAGATCGGTGTCCATCAATTCATAAACCAGATACACATCCTTGAAACTCCTCTTATGTATAGGCATCATCACGTCCTTCAAAGCAATCACATTCTCGTGTCGAAGATGGCGAAGGAGCTTCAGCTCGCGGAGAGTCCTCAGAGCATCAATGCGATTGTCAAACACATTGTGTATCTTCTTGATCGCTACTTTCTCGTTAGTCTCCCTGTTGACTGAAGAGCAGACTATACCATAAGCCCCTCGGCCGATCGGCTTTATCGGCACGTATTTGGTGTCGATCTCGAACAAGGTCTGCCACATTGAGTAGTAATGCTTGCCTTGAATCCTCACCCCGTTTGGCGGCTCAACTGGAGTCGCCATTTTCCTGCATATTGAATCAAAGGGGGGAAATGGAAGAAGAAGAAAAAAAAAATTAAAGATCACATCTTTGATCGAATTGTACACTGCCCATCAGAATTCAGTCAACAAAGGTTCGAAATTTTGATCTGGGTTCTGCAGAAACATAAATACCCATCACGGGAACGAGCGCCGGAAAGTAAAAAAGTTGCCAAAAAACTTGACTTTTTTCTGGTACAGTAACTGCAGAAGTTCCCCCGACTTCCCCAGAAGGGAAATTTTCAATTTCTCGAGAAACAATCAAAGCAAAGGAAAGAAAAGAAAGGGGAACTTACTTTCGATTACACTGCAGTAAATCTCCCCGAGTTCTTCTTCTTCCTTCTTCCTTCTCCCGGCGACCGTTACTCACCGGAAGTAAACCTCTGAGTTCAAAATTCCCCGGCGGCGACCCACACCATCCAAAATTCGTCTCCCCGAAATCCGCCGGCCGTCGAGATCAAGGCAGCAATTCCGATTCGCAGCAAATCAAACTCACAATTCCGCTTCGCGCCATAGCCAATAAGGCTTCGGATCCTGATTGGAGTTGGCAGAGGCTTGATCGGGATCCGGCTGCTCGCCGTTAAAGTGGGGACTCCGTTTCTTCTCTTAGTTATTCTTGTGCGCTCTTTCCAACGGCGACTTTCGATGAGGTTTTGTGCTGGCGTGAAGATTCGTTATCCCTTTCGTATCAAAGAGTGTTAAAAGCTCAGTTAAAAATGCTTTTTTGAATAAATATTAGGGAACGCACAACGCAGGCAAGCAAAGGTGAACGAAGAAAATGAAAACCCCGATGGAATAAGAAAATATATGTTCGTAAAAAAAGGTAAAACAGAGAGGAGGAAGAGGGAGTTTGACAATTTGTTCGTGCCGGCGAGTAATTTGTTGAGTGTTTATACTCCTAATCAGGAAAGGAGATCGATACTTCTCATGTGATGTGTCTGCTAAATTCAAATAAAACCAAAACCTCATGAGGATGTTTGAGTCTTCTTTCAAAGTTTAGCCTTAATACCATCATTGTGACAGGAAGCATTCCAACGTTTTCGATGTGTCAAGTGTGGTTAACAGCGAGAGTCTCGTTAATTTTGATTGTGGATGTGCTAAATTCTTGCCCATGTCAAATGGGAAAGATAAGATAAAAGACAGATAAATTACGTTCATTTATCTCATTTCATTTTCTAAATTGATAGTGATTGTAGTTGTTTGATTGTAATAGATAGGGGTGTTCAAAGTGGTTACCATGGTAACCGTTTTAATCAGTACTATTTGGATAATTTAGTTTGGTTAATTTAGATAATTGGTTTGATTTGGTTAAAGTTTTTAGCTTGTTTGGTTTAGGTGGTTTGGTTTCAGACACTCCTAACAAGCCAAACCAAATTAACGAGATAAATAATTAGTCATATATCTAATATATACACATACTTAATACTTTGAATAACCACTCAAGAGTTAAACTTTCATCCCTTTTAGACTCATAAAATATAAAGCTTGATATTGCTCCTATAATGTATATTTGTATATGTAGAGTGTAGACTACAACATGAACGCCTAATTTAGATAAGTCTCATACATTATGTTGGATGAAAACTTGAAAACAAGGTCCTTTTCAACCTATAAAAATTGCTAAAAGACTAAGTCAATACAAACACAAAAATACATTAACCCATACCATTGTGATAAATTTTTATTAGGTGAATACTTCTATACTAACCGTAAGATAATTGTCTTAGTTGCATGTATTTATGTTAAGGGTCAACTATAACTATGTGTTGATAGTTATGTTTTATTCATTATATAAATTGTGAATTGATAAATTAACCGAAATTTTCTCACTTAATGACAATGTAATTTTATATTGGTTAATCTGGTTAACCAATTAACCAAACCGATTAAATTTTAATTTGGTTAATTTGGTTGTTGTATTAGTTTGGATGGTTTGGTTATGATATTGTATTCCATAGTTAATGAAATTTAGCCTTATTTGATTTGATAATCACCATGGTAACCATTTAAACACCCCTAGTAATAGACTTGTTTTTTCATTTTCGCTAAACAATCTAAGAGAAAGAGAGAACAAGCTTGCAAGAGTATTCGTTTCAATTTGTAAATGTTCAACAGAAAATGTGGATTCGATGTGATAACCATATGATATGGTTATTAGTCCACACAAGACCGACGTATGCGATGTTATTTCACTATGATAGTGTGTGTTATGTAGTGATGGCAAAGAGGCATAGTGGAGTAGATGTTTCAATATACATACTCATCCCGTAATAAGTGCAACTCCTACTATTTGATTAAAAAGAAATAAAACAATTTAAGGAATAATAACACTAAAATTATTATATTTCACGAAATTTTTACTTATATTCCATTCTTTTAATATGATAGTTGTATTTCGAGTTTTCTAATTCGTTAAAGTCAACCTCTAGTAGTCAACAATCAATGTGTGGATTGCTCACCTGCCATTTCACAGAAAGACATGTTGGCGCCACATAATCATTGGTCAAACATACTTTGACCTCTACTAGGCCAACGGTTGATTTTAATATCAACGAAAAACTTGAGCACATAAATGATATTAGTTTAGTTTGGCCCTGCTGTAGTTTTTGCAGAAGCACCTTTTGGTTAGAGCTTTTAGATAAGTACTTTTCAAAAAAGCAGTTTAGTGTTTGGCTGTAAAACTATTAGAAGTGCTTTTTAATATGAGCGGTTGTGTAAAATGACTATAAATGACTTTTTTTGTCGAAATAGATACTTGCATTACCAAGACAAAAAAGTTACATCAAACCAATTTCCGAGCACAACCACTCCCGAAAATCAAAACCAACACTTCCAGTAGGAAACAAATCGAGGGCTTTTTTGGCCACCAAATGGGCCACCCTATTGTTCTGTCTACCTACAAACACCACTCTAAACCCAACATTAGCTCCTAGCAGCCGACAGATTTCCTGAAAGATTGCCCCGGCCCTCGCATCCCTGATGGTCCATGAGTTAACTTTGTCGATCACCACCTTCGCATCACCGACAAACTGAACTGCCGAAAGACCAGCCTCCGCACACCAGCACAGTGCATCTCGAAGAGCCATTGCCTCCACCAACATAGGATCAACCATATCGGTGAAGCACGACCCCCTTTCCATTAGAATGCCACCAGCCTCATCCTGCAGAATAATCCCAACTGATCAATGCGACTCAGTAGAAATCGCCCCATCAAAGGCGCACCTGTATCCACCCGGCAAGATACCCGACTCAGCCACCTGCACTACTGGAGCAGTTGTCCTCCCACTAGCAGGGGACAGGCTATCCATCCGCTCCTGAACCTAAAACCTGAATTGTCTTTCCAACACTAAGAATGTATCTTGCTGACCCTCGAAAGCCACCAAGTTTCTAGACTTCCGAATCCTCCAGAGAAGACAAATAAGACGAACCACTCAGGTTGGAGAGGAATCCCGCTCTAAGAACCGTCGAAAGAAAATAGGGAAAGCTTGACCTTGACCAATCACCAAGACATTCATCAATCCTGACATTTCCCACAAAGCCATCGCCACCGGGCAAGAGAAAAATAAGTGTTCTATAGTTTCCTCTTGAGCCAGCACACGGGGCATCGTGGTAGTACCAAGACCTTCTTTCGGATCAAAACCTCCATCGTCGGGAGAGTGCGTTGCAAAAGTTGCTAGATAAAAAGTCTGAGCTTGGGCTGAACCTCAAGTCCCCAAACTTTTATCCATAACGCCCTATCCACCGGATCGCACCCTGGCTTCGCTCTTATGATAGCGCGACTCAGGCTCTCAGCCAGCCTATATCCTGACTTCACAGTATACACCCCTGACGGGTCAAGCCTCCATACCCAGGCATCCTCACTAGGAGTGCGCGGAATCGAAACTTGGAGGATAGCACGCACCGTGTCCATACTAAATGTCTGCAGTAGACAATCCTGACACCAAGAGCGTGTCTCCTGATCAATTAACGATACTACACACTCTCCACCAAGTAAGGGAGCCCAACGCGCAACTCTGGAAAACGCGGAAATATTTGCGGAATCCATCCACTCGACATGATGGGAATTGATTCCCCAGACCCAACCTGACACCCCAACCCTTTCATCAACAAGCGGGCCCCATGGAGAATGATGTGCCAAGCCCACGAGGGTCGAGAGCCCAACTTAGCCAACAAGATAGAACCCTGAGGGAAATATTTTCCAAGAAAAACTTGGGCCAGCAAGGAATCCGGTTCATCGAGAATTTGCCACGCCACTTTAGCTAATAAAGCCTGATTAAACTCCTCAAAACGCCGGAACCCCTTTCCTCCCTCATGCTTACTGCGACAAAGGCGACACCAAGACACCCATGGAATGCCCGACCGACCCCCCGAGGAACCCCACCAGAATCTAGCCATATGCTTATCCATCCTCCGACAAAGGGTCAACGATAATTTAAAACATGACATCCCATGAACTGGCAAGGCCTCCGCCACTGCTTTTAGAAGTGTCTCCTTCGCCGCCCACGAAAATGTCGCTGCTTCCACCCCTTAATCCTCTCAAGCAACTTCTCCTCCAAGAAACGGAAGGTATCAAACTTTGATCGAGCCACCAATGTATGGAGTCCCAAGTATTTATCATGGATCCCAATCGCGCCAATCCCTAGGCAACGACCCATGACTTCTTGATCAGCTCCATCAATGTTTCGAATAAAGCAGACAACAGCCAGATTAACCTTTTGTCCACTCAAAGACTCATAATCATGAAGTACCGCCATCACGTTGTGACAATCCTGAAGAAAATCTCTCAGAAAGAGGTAGGAATCATCCGCAAAGAGAAGATGTGATACCCGGGGCGCCCGGGGGGCTCACCCGTACCCCTTCTAGTCTCTTCCGGTCAATAGCCTGATGCAGCAAGGCAGATAACCCTTCCGTACAGATTACAAAGAGCATAGGCGATAAAGGATCCCCCTGCTGCAGCCCTCGCGTGGACCGAAAGAATCCGGACGGGCTACCGTTCACCACGACCGAAAAGGAGGCCGCGGAGATACACTCCTGCACCCATCGAACCCAAACTTGACTAAACCCCAATTTTTCAAGAACTGGTAGTAAGAAAGGCCATTCGACTGTGTCATAGGCTTTCTCCATATCTACCTTTAAGGCCATAAAGCCTTTCTTACCCGTTCGCTTATTCTTGAGGTAATGCATAAGCTCATGCCCAATTAATATATTATCCACAATCTGGCGTTTCCTGATGAAACCATTCTGCCCAGAGGACACAATTTGCGGTAGGAATACCGCCATCCTCTCCGCCATGATTTTGGTAATTACCTTATAAACAAATTGGCACAACCTAATGGGTCATAACTGACGCATAGTCTCAACATTCTCAACCTTTGGAATTAAGGTAATCCAAGTATGGTTAAAGCTGCGTAAGATATGCCTATTCTGAAAGAATGAGCGCACAACAGAGACCACCGACTCCCCTACTATATCCCAAAAGGTTTTGAAATTTTTTCCAGTAAAACCATCAGAGCCCGCGCCTGCAACGACCCATGCGAAATACCGTCTTCCGTATCTCCTCCTCCATAACCTCTGCTACCAGCCTGTCCACAAAGTTCCGTTCTCTCCTGGCCCGGGTCACCGTATGAAAATACGAGGAATTTTGATCCCCAGTCCTTAACCAACGCACCCTCGACTTCTGTTTCCAATGCATTTCTTCTACAGCCCATTGCAATGTGAGTTCCCACTCCAATTGATTGATCCTATCCCAATTCACCGGGGATTCCTCCTTCAAAGACCCAATCTCGGCATACAGGACACGAATCTGCCTTTCAGAATTGGTGGTCCCAGCTTTGCTCCATTGGAAAAGAAGATGTCGTAGTTTTTTTAGCCAAACCCACAACCTGTACATCGCCAACCCCTGGACCGGTTCATTCCACACACTCTCCATCATCGGTCGAACCTCCACATTATCCGCCCACCTAGCATCAAAGCGAAACAACCACTTAACCGTACGGGCGAAGGGTTTATCAGCCACAATCAGGGCTCTATGATCTGATCCAAGATTGGTACCATGGACCACCAGCGAATCAGGGAAAGACTTCAGCCAATTGTTAGAGACCAAGGCCCTGTCCAACCGTTCCTGAATGCAGGCCTCCCCCATCCGCCTATTCGTCCAAGTAAAAGGGTTTCCAGAGAAACCAAGGTCCTGAAGCCCCAGTACATCCACGAAATCACGAAAAGGTTGTGATTGCACTGGGTTCCAAGGTCTCCCTCCCACTTTTTCATTAGAGGCTAAGATATCATTAAAATCCCCCACCACCATATATGGTATCAAAAGATCGACACAATATCGTCACAATCTCAAGAATATTCGACCGATCTACGCCTAGGATAGACTGATACATGAGGGATGGCCCAATTCCCGTCATGTTCCAGGCGAGAAGCCTCATTTGGCTACATGGGGCCGTTCAAGGCCGGCTTCCTCCACCTTTTTAACATCTCCATTCTTTTTGACAATCTCGTCCCCTTTTGGAACCTCTTGAGGCAGCGCCTCCTACATCGGATCATCAAGGCAAAGTTTCTTCACCGGAGTAGGATCCTTAGCAAGATCCTCAACAATTTCCGCCGACCTCTTCCTGTCCCCCATCTCCTCCTCCGACGGCGCCGTCATCCGGAAAGCAATATGCTTACCAGAAGACAGGGAAACCGAGATCTCTGTATCCCCATGCTTCTCCGATTCCTTGCTCCCACCCCCTGCAGCCGCTATCACCACCGGCTGAGAAGCACCACTCCCAACCGACCCACCCTCCTTCGTAGGCCCATCACCAGCTTGCCCCTCCTTCTTCCCGCCTGTACGAGCATACCCCATCTTCCCTTCCTTCTTTGATTCCTTCGGACCAACAACCTCTCGTCCTTCTCCAATACCTTTACCCTCTCTCGTATCTTTTTTAAGTGTCTCACTCCGCACCTTCAAGACCACCCTCGGCATTGTCATCGAACCCGACCCACCAGCTGTGGCCTTGCTCTCTACCCTTGACTTACCCAGGTTGTGTTGGGCCACTTCTTTCCCTTTCCCGTCCCTTGGCACACCTCCAGCCTTCTGGTCTCCAAACCCCTGCTTTCCACGGTCCTCCACAGCCGCCACCCCTTTCACTTTAGCATTAGAATTACCTGAAGCTCGATCCCCCACCGTCGCGGGCTTCGGCTTCCTAAGTTCCCCTTTGATGGCATCAACATTCGTCCCCTTCCCTAGCATAGTGGACTCCATCAACTTACCCTGTTGTTTCTCTGGTCTCTTCCCAGCAGCCTTTTCGGAGGCAAGCAGAGCAAGGACAACTCTCCTGCTTGAATCTCCTTCCGCTTCCTTATCCTCCATCCGCACCTCCCGAACCTGCCCACCAGTCCCCTTTCTCTTTCCCAACGTGGCGGGGTTCACCCACACTGATTTTTGGAGCGGCGCACCATAGATGGCAGCCAAGGAGATTTCATTGATCCGGTAACCCGACTCCTTGGTCGATAGCTTAGGGTCGTAATGCTCTTCCCCAGGCGGTGGAGGAAATGTGCAATTCTGGGCAGTATGACCAAAACGGCCACAGTGATAGCAGTACAATGGGAGGTGCTCATACACCAAGGTTATCCAGAACTTCCCCACGCTAGGATTAGTCGCGAAGAGCTGCGATCGCAGCGGCGCAATAACATCAAGCATGGCCCAAACCTTCACAAAGTGACCTGGAGCTCCCTTCAGCCCGAATAGCCCAGCATCGCACACGTCTCCCAATTTACTCTCGGCCATTCGTCTCCTGAAAGCCACCATTCTGCAATGTGAGGGGATACCCCACATCTGGACCCAAAACGGTGCTATGCCCAGCCCCTCCACCACTGCTGGTGTAATCGGCTCCCAATTCTACAGATGCAGAATCCTTTCTTTCACCTGCCAAGGAGTCCTATGAAGAACCCAATCCTTGTCACGTTCATCCTCGAAAAGGAATTGGAGTAACCCTAATTCTACTTCCATGACCGTGACCTTCCCTGAGCAACCCCACTCACCATACACAATTTTTTGAATGGTTTTGAGGCTAGGTGGATTGTCCATGAACAGTCGCCCAACCCAGCTCAATTTCGCCCTCTGCATACTTTCCTCCACATCCTCCAGCTCAAATTCGACCACCTGATCAGGGTCCATTGGTTCATTAGCCATGATTGTTCTATTTCCGCGAAGCTCTCACGTCTGGTATTCGAGAAGAGATTTCCTCTGTCTCCAAAGCTTCCCAGAAAAATTGTTTGTGATACTACTATAAAGAACTTATAATATAAAATATGAATAAAAATTCTAAACAATAAAAAAGTAATCAAAATGGATCTTGTTAGATTTCTTTTTTGTTAAATAATATAATTTTATAATTTATTTTATTTTTAAAATGATATAAATGAAGGAAAATTATATTTTCTGAAATAAAATTAAAATATGGTTAGGATAATCTTGTATTTTCAAAACAGCTTTTCGCAAAAGTTTCAAATCGAAGCTTCTGCTTTTATATTATACAAAAGCACTGTTCGGCTTTTCAAAAGCCGAGGTTTTAGAGATGTTTGGTCCTGCTTCAACTTTTGAAGCTGAAAAGCACTTCTAAAAGCTGCGTGAAACACATGTATTGAACCCCCACCCCCTCCCCCAATAGTTTCCCTAAATGTCAATATTGAATAGTTGAGGCTAAGTAATTGAAAGATGAAGTATGACTAGTGGCGGAGGGCGGAGGCAGGATTTCAAACTACCCCTATCCTCAATTCAGATTATAAATATATAATTAATTAATTAATAATATCTAAAAAATGTATTTTCATATATAAGTAATAAAGACTACTCGAGTTTTCATATTATGAAAGAAACACAAAATACACTCATTGTTTACACTATTACGTAAGTCATTTTCAATGGATCTCACTAAATAACCATTAGCAAACTGGTCGTGAATTCGACTTCGAAATTCATTCTTGATATAGTTCAAAGCTAAAAATATTTTATCTACACTTGCCGTCAAAACTAGTGGAATCGGCTTTGCCCCTCGAATGCTTCAAAATTGTTGGGCAAATAATTGAATAGGCATATGAAGAAAAGAGATTTTTTTATAATGGTGAAAGAAAAGAGATTTTTTCCTATTGTGGTTTTGTTTATACTATGATAAATTAATTTAATGTCAACTTATGATCAAGTAATGAGTTGTAATATAGTGACAAAATACGTTGTACTGAGTGTTGTGCTCCATCCTTTGTATAACATATATGGAGTATTTTTGTTTATCCCGAAATTCACCCCTGTCACGGGACAAATGCCCAAAATTGATGCCTTCGCCTATGAGTATGACACATGTTCAGTATTTTTTTTTTTTTGGGTAGAAAGGTAGACGCATTGCGTCTAGTTTACATTAACATAACGATCATGGGAAGTCCCCAAAACATCATGGCTTAGCCATTGAACAAGGTCTCTAGCGCACACATTGAAGCGATGTGTGCCAAAATCGAAATCGTGAGCCTTGCTGGCCAAGTAATCGGCCGCAAAATTGGCTTCCCTAAACACATGGGAAACACAAACCTCCCAATCAAGACTAAAAAGCAAATCAAACTGCTTGGCAACGTTTCCATGCCAGTGATCATCTTTCTGACATTGTTTGATGATGTCAACTGTAGTTGTAGAGTCTAGCTTTAGCTCAATCTTGCGGTGGCCTTCATTCCAAGCAATTTTTAGGCCTTCCAAAGCACCTTTGAGTTCAGCAGCCGTGATAGAACATGAACCCATATTGCAGACATAGGCCCCTTTGCATCTTCCCAAGTAGTCTCTGAAGAGGCCCCCTGCTGCTGCTTTCCCTGTCTGAGTGATAACTGATCGATCGGACTGGATTTGAATCCAACCTTCTCTGGGGGGGTTCCCAGCAAAAAAGTCTGCTCTGGACAGTAGCAGAGTTAGAACAGGTGGTCTTCTGCACGTTACGTTTGGCTTGTTCAACAATGCAGAACCACGCTTGAATTCTAGCAATTAAGCCGTTTTTGGAGAAGCTTTTGCCTTCCATCACCTCCTCATTTCGTTGTTTCCATAGATGTCAGACAATGATGCCAAAATCAGTATTTCACCAAGCTGAAACTATATATAATTTAAGAAAAGGCAAAAGAGGAGAACTATTACTTGATATTGAGATAAATCGTAGTTGAACTGATCGAGGAGAAAAAAGGGTACATGACAAAAGTAGTACTTGCCCCACACAGGCACACTACTACGTACGGCCACTTTGTTTCAAATACCGGTTCTTCATATGTTTCCCTTATCTTTTAGGATTTTGCTACGGTGACATGCATGTCACCGTGACATGGACTTTTCGGTCGACCTAATAAAAAATGCGGTCGACCGAATTGACTAATTCATGTATGTGAGGTTCCGAGACGCGGTCGATCTCTTACATAATATGGTCGACCGCTTTGGTGGTCTAACAGAATGAAAGGTCGACCCAAATACCTCATAGGCCGACCCTTGTGCACCTAATAGGTCGACCGCATTATAAAGAGGTCGACCGCCTTTACACCGTATCCGTATTGGATGTAAGAGAGTTTAGGTTTTAGGGTCTTCTTTGTTATATTGTTGTTGTTTGCTTACCGGTGGCCGGCATAGGGTTGCAAAGGAGAACTCGGTGAAGGCAGCAAACCTTTGTGTCTTCGAGTGCATTCCAAGGTGGCCTAATGTCCTGCACTGCACTACTGATGAAAGTCACATCTGGATTTCAATCGATTTAAATTTTCTGAGGTCGACCTATGCTTCTATTGAGGTCGACCTATTGTTTTTTGTACTCCAATTGTTACGGATTTGAGTCGACCCATTCTCGTTTTAAATTAACTGAGGTCGACCGCTTTATGGAGTGGTCGACCGCGTTTTGTTCATTTCGAAAATGTGACTAACGTGTATTCTTGCTTGTTTGATCGCAGGATGTTTGGCAACAAAAAAAAAGTCACAAAAAGCTGCTGCCTCAAGTTCGGAATGGGAAGAGTTCAATCCCAATTTGTTCCATACCAAGGAGCAAAATGACAACTATGAAGAGAAGAGAATGCACAACCGCAGGGTGGCTCCTGGAAGGCCATTGACGGTGGATGCGTATTCTCATTTCGAGAATTACGGGTTTCTAGGACCCTTTGTCGAGCAAGAGTGGCTGAAGGTGATATCTCTGAATGTACAATACTACCCAAAACTGGTACAATACTTCTACAACAAACCTATCAGCATAATGCAAATGGATCCATTCATGCATTTAAAAGCTATGTGAATGGGGTGGAGATGCGCATCAGCAAGAATGTGTTGGCGCAAGTACTAGAGGCTCCAAACGAGGGGAAGAGAATCAATTCTTACACTGCTTGGAATGAAACTCATTTCTCGAGAGCCAAGCAAATCCAGACGGTATGTGGTCTTAATGAAGAGGAAGATGCTCAGGGTCGCAGTAGGCCAACGAGTAACCACCTGACAGTTCAAGCCAGAGTTCTTCACCACATGCTCTCCTACAACATTCTGCCAAAGGGTGGACATCGGGAGACAGTCACCTACTTCGACATGGCGCTCCTCACCAACCTACTGTTAGACGAGAAGGTGAACTTGCCATACTTGATCTTTAACCACATGCTTACTGCTGCAGAGAGTTCAAACATGAATCTTCCCTATGGGATGATCCTCACTTTGCTATTTGAGCATTTTAATGTTAATTTAAGTGGTGAGGTGGGGTTAAAGATCTCAAGGCAGGAGTTCTATACAGTTTCATCCTGAAAAAGATGGGCTTTGAGCTCCGTAATGGTGAGTATGTCTGAATCAATGCTCATGGTGCCCATGGTGGTGATTATGATGATGATGAGGATGATGATGGTGATGAAGGAGCTGGAGACGAGCCAATGCCGGAGGCACAGAGTTCAACTCCACCGATCACCTTAGAGCGTGTGTCGGAGCACATGGATGGCATGTACGACTACATGGGGCAAATGACCGCCCAGATGAGCACAATGCAGGTGACCGTGAATGAGATGCGAGATGAGTGGCGATCTTTCAGCGGAAGATATATGCATCCCACCACATCCGACCACCATCATGCTAGCACCACCAATGAAGAAAATGTGGATGAGGGAGAGAGGGGACATGAGTAGGAACTCGAAGATTTTAGATTGTGTGTTTTTATTATTAAGTGGTCAAAACGATTGTTGATTGTTATTTTGTTGTTTTAGTTTTTTTTTATGTGTGAACAATTATGATTTCTGTTTTATTGAATTTCTTGTTAGTTTGTTTAGTTGTTATGCTATGAATTGATGAGTTCTTGTTATCATTATTTATGACTATTTATGATGGTTTGGAACATTATTTATACGAGCAAAAGAACCACACAAATCGACATACATAAGCAAAAAAGACACGGGGCATAGGGTGACTTTCTTGTATTCGGTCGACCTCGAAACCAACACTTGATCTTCATTTTACGTCAAATTATTGGACAGATTGATAGAACACTTATCTTCTATCTGGTCGACCTCTTTCCTTATCTGGTCGACCATTTTGTTAATGACTGCCATCAAGTGGTCGACCTATATGCCTTTTCGGTCGACCATGTTGTTTCTGACGCCAACGAAATGGCTAATCGAGGTTTTATTCTGGTCGACCAAAAATAACAACTTAAACTAGGTGCGGTCGACCACGTGGTCTTTGAGGTCGACCGCAATGATTTCTCGTGTTGCCCAAATTAGTCAATTCGGTCGACCGCCTTCAGGATTAGGTCAACCGAAAAGTCCATGTCACGGTGACAT